TAGCCACTTGAGCCACAGGCGCCGAGCCCTTAAAAGCATTCTTAAGATGGGGATATAATAATACTGTGGAGTGCTATGGTGTCAAAGCTCACAGCAACCCCAAACTCTTGGGCTTAACCGATTCTCTTGCCTCAGCCTCTCGAGTAGCTGGGACTACAGGTGCCCACCACAATGCCCAGCTATTTTTTGCTTGCAGTTGTCATTGTTATTTTAGCAGGTCCAGGCCAGGCTCAAACCTGCCAGCTTTGGTGTATGTGGCCTGTGCCTCACTCACTGATCTATGGGTGCTGAGCCTTTCTCTCTTTCTTTTTTAAAGACAGGGTCTTGCTTTATTGCCAGGCTGGAGTACAGATGTGCAATTGCAGCTTATAAACTTAACTCCTTGGCTCAAATGATCCCCTTGCCTCAGCCTCTCAATTAGCCACCATACCTTGGCTATTTTTAAAAAATATGTTTTTGTAGAGATGGGATCTTGCCAGGCTGGTCTTATAGATGTGGGCTACCGCACCTGGCTAAAACCATCTCTCACTCTTTTTTTTTTTTTTTGTTATTGAGACAGAGTGTCACTTTATTGCACTTGGTAGAGTGCTATGGTGTCACAACTCACAGCAAGTTCCAGCTCTTGAGCTTAGGCGATCCTCTTGCCTCAGCCTCCTGAGTAGCTGGGACTACAGGTGCCTGCGATGACGCTCGGCTATTTTTTTGTTTTTGTTGCAGTTTGGCCAGGTTGGGTTTGAACCCACCACCCTTGGTATATGGGGCCAGCGCCCTACTCACTGAGCCACAGGTGCTGCCCCACCTTTCTTTTCTTGAGACAGAGTCTCACTTTGTCACTCTTGGTAGAGTGCTGTGGCATAATAGCTCACACAAACCCCCAACTCTTGGGCTCAAGCGATTCTCTTGCCTCAGCCTCTAAAGTAGCTGGGACTATAGGCACCTGCCACAGTGCCTGGCTACTTTTTTAGAGAAGCAGTCTTGCTCTTGCTCAGGATGGTCTCCTACTTGTGCAAGCAATCCACCTGCCTCGGCCTCCCAGGATGCTGGGATTACAGGCATGAGCTACCTCAACCAGCCAAAGCCTGGCTATTTTTAGAGGCGAGGTCTTGCTCTGGCTCAGGTTGGTTTTGAACCTGTGAACTCAGGCAATCCACCCACCTTGGCCTCCCAGAGTGCTACGATTATAGGCATGAGCCACTGCGCCCAGCCCCCCAAACCTTCTCTTAATGAAACAAGTATTATCAGGAGCATACACGAACAGAATTAAGTATCAAATAACCTACAAGTTCATGTAAATGTCCACAGTAAGAACCAGTTAGTCTGGAAACACACCAATAGCAAATTTCCTCCTTCTGTGTATGTTGATTGATAATATTAGCCCATCACATACCCTTATTTTAGTAGCACAGGATTCCATACACATGAAAGATAACCCAAGGTAACCATTAACTATCAGTGGCTTTCAAATTTAATAACCTATTATTAAATTTTGATACTGAGGACTGAACTTTCCACATCTCTACCACCACACCCTTGACCCAAATCAGCATGAATACTTACAGCCACTGTCACAATCCTTCCCTTCACATAGAGGCTTTACTCAGGCCCATAAACTGTTTACTTGAATGAAAATTTGGCAGATAACTTTTCCTACCAACTGAGTAAAGACCTGATCTCAAGTTGTACTGTACAGTGGTTATAAATAGCAATTGATTCAAAACTTCCTGAGGCAGGGGTCATCCTTCCTTGAGCTTTGTCTGTGTGGCCTTGATTAACAGGCAGGAAAATATCTTGGCCCAGCTCTGTCAGTACAGCTGACCAAAACCGATACACACACATACACACTCATACTACATCTACACAAAATTTATTCTTGGCAGAGCAACTGCTAATCAGGACTTCCATCAACTTTCATTTGTTTCTTTTTTGTTTGTTTGTTTGTCTTACGAGACAATCTCACTCTGTTGCCTGGGCTAGAATGCCATATCAAGAATGAAAGGAGGACAGATCCTACATTAAAGGCTACAAAGGAATAATATGAACAAATTTGTGCTAGTAATTTGACAATTTTAATGGACAAATTCCTTGAAAGATACAAATTATAAAAATTGATACAAGATATAGAAATTTGGAATGTCCCTATATCTGTTTTAAAAATTAAATTTGTTGGCTCGGCGCCTGTGGCTCAAGCAGCTAAGGCGCTAGCCACATACACCTAAGGTGGCGGGTTCGAATCCCCAGCCCGGGCCCACCAAACAACAATGATGGCTGCAACCAAAAAATGACCAGGCGTTGTGGCGGGTGCCTGTGGTCCCAGCTACTTGGGAGGCTGAGGCAGGAGACTCGCTTGAGCCCAGGAGTTGGAGGTTGCTGTGAGCATGATGCCATGGCACTCTACCCAGGGGGATAGCTTGAGGCTACAAATTAAATTTGTAGACCAAGTGTGGTGGCTCATGCCTGTAATCCTAGCACGCTCAGAGGCCAAGGCAGGTGGATTGCTTGAGCTCAGAAATTTGAGACCAGCCTGAGCAAGAGCAAGACCCTGTCTCTAAAAATAGCCAGGTGTTGTGGTGGGCACCAGTAGTCCCAGCTACTCGGGAGGCTGAAGGAAGAAGAACACTCGAGCCCAAGAGTTTGAGATTGCTGTGAGCTATGATGCCACAGCGCTCTACCAAGGGTGACAAAGTAAGACCCTGTCTCAAGAAAAAAAGAAAAAAGAAAAGAATTTGTAATTGAAAACCTTCCCTTAAAGAAAATTCCATGTCCAGATGGGTTCCCTAGTCAATTTTACTAAACATCTAAGGAAAAATAATGCCAATCATACACAAACTCTTTCAGAAAATGGAAGAAGTAGAAACAATTTCCAATTCTTTTATGAGACCAGCATTATTCTATTGGGAAACTAGATAAATCAGAAAAGAAGATAAAAACATGAGCAAATCAAATTCAAAATATAAGAAGGATAATATATCATTTCTAACTAGAATTTATACCAGAATGCAAGGTTGCTTTAACATTAAAAAGGCCATGTTTATGGGATAAAAAAAAATTATGTTAATCGGTGTATAAAAACCATTCGAAAAAATTCACACCTTATTCACAATTGGGGAAAAAACCTTCAGCAAATTAGAAACAACAGAATTTCCTCAATCTGATAAAGATATCTATTTGAAAAAAGCACTGCTGCTATCATATTAAGTGGTAAAATACTAAACATTTTCCTCTTACGATTGGGAAAGAAGCAAAGATGTATTCTCTTCCTACTTTTATTCATTCTAAAAGATGTAATGCAGTAAGGCAAGAAAAATTAAAGGAAAAGTATGCAGACTGTTTGGCTCAGCGCCTGTTGCTCAGTAGGCAGGGTGCCAGCCACATACACCGGGGCTGCCAAACAACAATGACAACTACAACAAGAAGATAGCTGGGTGTTGTGGTGGGCGCCTATAGTCCCAGCTAACTTGGGAGGCCAAGGGAAGAGAATCACTTGAGCCCAAGAGTTTGAAGTTGCTGTGAGCTCTGACACCAAAGCACTCTACCAAGGGCAATATAGTGAGACTCTATGTCTCAAAAAAAGTATGCAGATTATAAAAGAAATAAAACTGTTTTGCAAACAACATGATTTTACACGGAAAATCCTAAGAAACCTACAGTCACAAGCTACTAGAATTCATAAATAATTTAGCAAGAGCTCAGTATACATGATCAACATACGGAAATTAATTATACTTCTATGCTCTAAAAACAAAAAAATCGGAAAATGATTTTAAAAATAAATTTCGATAGCATTTTTTTTTTTTTT